TCCTGGCGGGAGCCTGGCGAAGGCGTGGGTGTCGGCTGAAACGGCTGCTTTGGAGGTGGGGACTTGGAGGGAAACGAAGCCGGGATACCCCCCCTACCCCCCCCCCCCACCCCCCCGGCGTTTTGGGGCTGTAAGGGAGAAAGGAAGAGGGTTTTCACCCTCTCCGCCTTCGGCAACCATCCAACACGCCCCCCAAGGTCGGCGGATAGACTCCCAAGAGGGGACCCCCAAATTTTGAGAAGCCCCCAAGTGGGTATGATACTGATACCCGTATTGACAGAGCAGCTCTTAAGACAGGGCTCAGCAAGATGCAAGCTTGGAGACATCGGGAGTTCCCAGAAGTAGGGGTACCTTTTTTGGGGGTCCCCATAATCATAAGAAGGACTATCGTATTTTGCTGTCTATATGAGGAGAATCTCATTTTGGAAAAGTCACAATATCCAAGTTGTTGGTAGTCATGCTGCTTCAGTCGTTGGCTTCTGTTTGGGATCTAAGTTTTAGATTTTGACTTGGCTGATTCAGGAAAAACAGCGCAGGGCGGAAGAAGTGGTTGGGACATCTGTGTGGGTGGAAGATTCTGAAAATGTGCAGGTTGGTGGTTGTTGTTGTTCGAATCGCTTTCCGCCGTCGTTATGTCATGCATTTGTTTGCTTGTTTCTCGGGCGTGTTCTTAAAAAGTCACCATGCATGAAGGGGCCTGGGAATGGCAGGCCATGACCATTGGGTAATTTTCCATAGGCCTTCGAGACAACTCCCAAAAAGGTCTTATGGACGTCCTGACGGGGATGTTATGGAGACTACTCACCTTATCTGGATCAATGTTAGGATCCTTTATACTCTTCGGCATGGGATCCTTACTTTTATGTAGAAAGGATCCCTTTTTCTTCCTAGGGGTAACGTGTGCTAAGTTATAACAACGCCTGGATTTTCAATATCACTTCGAGGCGAAGATTATGAGAAATTCATGAAGGCTCTCCTGGGCCACAAGGCGCGGGGAAAGCGTAAGGTTCTTCGATGCCTTGGTTCTATGGTTTAGGAGTTGAGGGTTTAGGTAGTTTAGGGTTCCTAGACCCTCCAAGTAGTTACTCAGGTATCCTATATTTAGGCTTAATTACCCCCTGTAATGGACCACATACCCTATTGAAGGGTACAAGGAGGGTCCGGGTTTAGATCTTAGGGTTGAGGGACGTTGAGGGAGTTCAGGGCTCAGAGTGGTGATCTTCCGCCTTAAGCAAACTTCATATGGTCTAAACTCCTTAAAGGGGTTATATAGGGGATTACATAGGGAAGTATTATAGGGGTTATTAAGGGGATACTGGCAGAATAGCCCAAAGCTCATATGTGGCATCCTATGCGCATGCTTTTCCAGAGCAAGGGCGTGCTTTCGATGCCTGGGACTTTCAAGGTTTGTAAAGGCCTTCGGGTCCTCTGGAGTCCCCTTTTTTCCACTTTTGTTTGGGACCCTAAACCCTAAGCCCTAAACCTTAAACCCTGAACCCTAAACCCTAAGCCCTAAACCTGTAACCCTAACCCCTAAACCCTAAACCCTCCTCTCTGGAGTCCCCTGGTCCACCTCTGTTTGGGAAACTTCCAGCAAGCTTAGAAGATGGATTGGCCAGGAGATCCTGAAAGGATACTCTCCACTACATGAGCCATAGTCTAAACTCCTTTATGGGGGTTATATAGGGGGTCGTATAGGGGACTAACTATAGGGCTTATTAACGGGAATACTAGGAGTTTAGACTATGGCTCACATGGACTACTACAGCCGGCAGACAACAAGGCTCCAGGAGCCTCATGATGGGTGCGATAGTAACCGTAGGGCAAGTTTACTTGCTGTGGTAAAATCTACGCATGCCGCATCAACCGCCTAAAATCCCAAACTTCTTCTTACCTGCCC